AGATTTTCTTGCTGATTTTACAAATGATTTTAAACAAAAATCAAAAATTAGCTTTTAATTGTTCAAAGCAGGGCTGAAAAATTACCTTTTAATTGAAAAAGGCTTATATTTAAGGAATCCCCTTTCCATTTAAGGCCCTATAAAAAATATTATTAGTTTATCATCCTATCTGGGCAGGAAAAGTGATGAGGGAGGGAGGTTTTTTTTTATTTTTTATTTTGCTAAAGCCAAATATCACCCTTGGGTTGTTTGCTGGTGCAGTGATATTCAAAGTAGAACATGATTTAGATAATGCAAACAATATTTACTAACTATTTAATATAATAAATGAAAAAAAATAAATAAAAAGAAATTTCTAAAAAAAATTTTTTAAAATTTTTTTTTTACCAGTACCATAAAAGACATGCGTGCGAGGGTGATAAACTAATAATTTTTTTTATTGGGACTAAATTCTAATTCTAAAAGGAGATTCAACTCCTGTAGACTTTGTCAATGTTTAACATGCTTTAATTTGTTTTGTTATGTGTAATTAATATATACTGTAATATAGACATTAGATTCAATGACTATTAATTGCATCAAAAATAATTGAATTGTAAAATCAATAGGCTAGCTAGGGGCTCTCCTCTTCAAATACTTCCATGATGACATCATCTCTTTTCTAACCAATCTGTTAACCAGTATGTGTATAGTGGTTTGCCATATAAATCCACCCTCCAACAATCAAAGAGAAACTTCCATTGCATATAAATCATCTTAAAAATCACTAAAATCAGATCTAAAGTAATATTCATCCTTGCTGTATGCTGCCCTTCTCAACGATCTGGACAAAGTTCACAAGGAGGTATCGGGAGCTCCGGTTATGTAACATCTATCAAAGTTAGATTTATTGATGTAATCAATTAATTTTATTGCTTTAAAGTGGAGCAGCAGCTTACATATTACAAATGCGTATCATTAGGCCTCTCTCCATTTATTTTTATACCTCCTTGATAATGACATTCAATACATGCAAATAGGTCTATCGTGAATTAACAGGGGTTATTTTCCGGGAGAATCTTACTTATTCGTGGAATACGCGGGAGATTTGGGACCCCTGTGTTCTAAAAATGTGCATTTGTAATTTTTTCTTTTGGAGATAATAAACAATGATAGGTGTATAATTATGGTCACAAAATAAACATTATATGCAGATAATCAACCATAATGATGATATCAGTCAATAGAAATAAAAGAAAAGGTATTAATTTAATAAGATGATCTATTATTCCAGATGTTACAAGAATAACTTCTTACTCATTATGCTACGAATTAATATAATAAACATTATGTTTTAATAAAACCGTATTCCCATCAATCTGGTGTCTTTTTTTATATAGTTGTTTGAGGACAAGTATTTAAAAAAAATTTATAATTGATCAGTGTGGCTGTGGTATTTTTTTCTATTGTTGTTATGCTTAGTATTGCTAAGTGTTATTTACATACCGAATAAAGCATAATAGAAACTAGAATTATTCCTTGGTTACCCTTTTTGGGTAAGACAAACATAACAATCAAACCACAAATTAATTCTAAGAACCCAAAACAATAACATGTTATTACATAAAACCACATGATAGGCAGACTTACATAAGGCCCAATAAAAAAAAAATAGTTTATCCCCCTATCTAGGCTGGAAAAGTGATGAGGGAGGGAGACTCTTTATTTTAAATTTTTATTTTGCTAAAGCCAAATATCACCCTATGGTTGTTTGCTGGTGCATTGATATTTGAAGTAAAAATACATGATTGAGATACATCAACAATATAATAACTTGGATTGGATTCATTTGATGTAAACACCAAGGATAACTGAAGAAGACATATTTCCAGTGGGGTCCTTCTGGTGGAGATTGGGCAGTACACCGGGAGACAATCCCCTACTCTTTTCCAAAGAGAGAGCAGCTTAGCTCAGTTGGCTAATCCGGTGGTAGCCACTGTGTGTGCGCTGAACCGTGGAGATCTGTAGGTCCCCGGTTCAATTCACATCGCTGCCTCTCTTTGTGTTTCAGCTAGAGGGCTGAAATACAAGTTACAATAGCGCACCGTCTTTCGGGTGAGACGTTTAAGCCGTTGGTCCCGTGTGCATTTATGACCCATGTGCACGTTAAAGAACGCATATACTCTTCGGAAAAGAGTAGGGGATTGTCTCCCGGTGGAAATAAGTCTTCTTCTAGACTTTTGTGGGCTATCCTTGGTGTTTATACCGAATAAATCCAATCCACATAGGACCAATGGCTTAAACGTCTCTTCCTAAAGAGGGTACGCTATTGTAATTTGCATTTCAGCCCTCTAGCTGAAATAAAAGAGCAGTGAGGGCAATTGAACTGGGGACCAAGAGATCTCCACGGTTCAGCGCACACACAGTGGCTACCACCAAATTAGCCGACTGAGCTAGTAACACTATTTACTAAAAAAATTTAAATTAAAAAAAAAATTCCTTTTTCAATACTATAGAAGACATGTGGGCGAGAGTGATAAACTAATATTGTTATTGGGCCTAATATTCTGTTAATGCATGATAATAATTGCAACTGAAACTCTAAATTTCTATATAAGGCATAGATATTACAATATTATTAGTAATTATTAAATGATGAGTTTTGAATTATCAAATATAAACTCAAATTGATTACTTTTTATATGAGAGCATATGATTATATGATTTGACATCAAGCATGGCCCTTATTTATATGGGCAAATCTGATATTTTTCACATGTAGCTTGATATAACTTTATGAATGCAAAAACAGGCTCATTCTTATTTTCTCTATAGTATACTGCAGGCCTACTAATATGAGGCTTGTCATCCCAAAACCAACATCAGTGACCATCAAATGAAAATAGACTTTTTAATATGTTCTTACTCTCTACATTATAAGCTTTAAAATGATGGGTCACTTACTGGAATCCACTTACAAATTTATAAATTTATGAGTAAACCTTTGGTACAGCCACGAGATCGCGACTGGACGGAACACTTTTGCCATCGGGAACCAGTCAGTATTGCACCCTCTCTGGCACTATTGAGAGGCCTTTTTCCTGTCATCTTTTAGAGCACAGTGCGATTTTGGTAAATAGTAGATCAAGTCCGTAATAATTTTCAGTAAAATAGGTAGCGCAAGTGTCTCATGTCTTGAAGTGGCTGCGGCACCCCCCTGTTTGGTTGGTATGCAAGTGAGCATTTACTTATTATATATTCGGCATATGGTACAGAGTAAAAAACACAAACAGGAAATACAAAAAGACAGGTTAGCGGCATGCCCAGAGAGAAAAATGGGCTGAAGCCCGACACCATAGGTGAATTCTCTATAAACCGCTAACCTGTAAAAGAACAATGAAAAACAAGTATTAAAAGATTTTTTTTTACATTTTATAAAATTTTTTTCAAAAAAAAAAAAAGAAAAAAAACAGTACATATAAATTCATCTATATAAAATATTGAAAGGATGTTAAAGATAAGCCGCAGACTACAATAGGGCAGAAGGTGTTAATAATTCTGCCTCGCTACAAACCATGGACCTATCTGACCCAATTGCGAAAGCCCCACCCCTAATTTGACCAACCAATCAGCATCACCGAAAACTGTCACCGATAGCGTGCAGTGATTGTATGGAAACCATGCTTAAGACTGTTACTACTGTTTGTCATCTAGAAACCTTCAAGTACCTTTTCTAATTCGTTACAAATCGAATGAGATTGAGATGAATATTATGAGTATTGACCTAAAAGCTAATTGTCTAAGGGCCTGTTCGAGCAAAAAACACCAACTGTATTCCGTGCTAGACACTATTTAATGTTTAGTGTAGTTTAGTTGTAGTAAAGCAGTAGTTTAATTGTAGTAAAGCACTGCCAAATAGTCCTGACTCTGTAAATCAAAATACAGTTATGAATTAGTATAGGTATCCACTAGCGTAAATATGGATTAAATATTAAGCTTATCTGAATCATATGATACCACAATGCCTTAACATGGATAAATCAAATCTTAAAGACTAAGCTGTTGAATTAGCTTTAAAGCTGCTGTTATAGGCCCAATAAAAAATGTTTAGTTTATCACCCCTGTGTGCATGTCTTCTATGTTACTGGGAAAAAAATGTAATTATTTATTTTATTAAATAGTTAGTAGATATTGTTTGCATTATCTCAATCATGTTTTACTTTGAATATCAATGCACCAACAAACAACCAAAGGGTGATATTTGGCTTTAGCAAAAGAAAAAATAAAAAGCCTCCCTCCCTCATCAGTTTTCCTAACCAGATAGGGTGATAAACTAATAATATTTTTATAGGACCTTAAATTGAACACCAAAGTGAAATACATTTTGTTAATAATAATAAATAACATTTTTATTGCGCAAAAGACAGTAAGTTTCAAAGCGTTTTCTATTCACAGTTCTGTAAACAATCAAAAGTAAAGATGTGCATTTTGAGTTTTTTTTTTAAATGCTGACAGATGCTGATGTGCAGATTTAAGAGTATTAATCATACTAATATTTTTATCATACAAAAAAAAAAAAGATTAGATTAGAAAAAAAAATGTTTGGTCTTAATGAGAGTTTCCCAGATCCTACAATTTCAATTTTCCATTATACTTTTTATTTTTATGATTTGTAGAAATGAAAATTGTTCACTATCAAGTTTTGCAACATATCTTAAAATCAGTGGGAACACTGCTTCAATTGGGCCCTCAAAATGGGAATGCTGGTGTCATATTATGATATTGACAAATTTACACATATTTGTCAGGTATAAAACTTAATACACTAGTGTGTACAGGAGCTACGCATTTTGGAAAAAGGATAAGGAAAAAAGAATTCTATTTTTTATTTGACTCAAGTAACACTGGACAAAATGGGAGCCAATTGCACATAGAGTTAGTATAGAACAATTGCCATGTACGGTACATTTGTCTAAAACTATTGCTATTTTTTAAAGCTTTATTTCCTTCTTGTCCAACAGTGAGTGAAATGACTATTACAGAATGGCGGTGGCAAGCTATGGGCTGACTCGTATACTTAAGTCGCTTTGGAGCCATGTTAAACTAAGTTCTGAGAAACATTCTGGTAAGTTTAAGTGACTATCATACTTGTTTTTATTTTCACCTAGATTGAAACTAATAATAATGACATGAATTAAAAATATATCACATACAAAGCAAACCAATGCTTCAAAGTTGGTTGGTAAATCAATTTAACATAAATACAGTGTATCTAGACTATATTTCTTTTTTGTTTTGCTATTATAATGTTCGAAAAGAGTCCTGGTTGTTCTGCTATAAGATTCAGAAAATCATACATTGGATCCAATGATAAATATTTATTAGGTTACTTTTTTGATGATATAAAGTCAAGTGTAAAATTGAGATGTTACTATTTATTTCTTGACGATCGTCTGCTATCTGCAAGGCTTAGTCATAAGTGCCTATATGACTAATATATAAGTCAATTGGTTTAATATAAGTCAATTGGTTGTTATACATATTTAATTGAGATCACTGACACTAACTATATTACAGGATTTGAACCCATGACCTTTGGAATGGAAGACAGACATATAGACCACCAACACTTCATGCAAGGAAATCAAATCCAACTTGTATGTTACCAGGATGTTAATTCAGTATTCAGTTTGTAATGGAGTATTAATTACTGTAAACATGGAGGTAATATTGGTGATGCATTCACAGCTAAATCAATAATTTAATTATCATGTATGCTATTTTTGGCCAGTAAATATTTTAATATCTGATATCTTTGGCAACAAGCTGCTGCATGCCCATATGATGTGCCTATATAATTACATTCATGATGTATTCAGTATTCAGTAACATTTATTCAAATCGAAAAATGTGAAAGTAAACAATTAATAGCTATAAATTATGATTTAGGAATCAGATTAGAAGTCAAAAACTTGTCTCAAAATGATCCCTTAACGAAAGATACCGCATTTAGGCATTTCACATGTTTTTGTCAAATGAAATTTGAGTCTTGACAGGGCTTTAACATTGGGCACATAGTGTCAGCTGCAAGATCATTGTTAAATTATTGTTATTTTATTAAATTGTCTTTGATAATGACTGCTCATCCAGAATCAGATGCCATGTTAGATAACATGACTAAATTAATTAATTAACAGAGTCTGTACAATTAACATTACGTTTGAAATGGAAGTTACATAGGTGTATTACACAGAATATTTTAAGCATTAATCTGTTGAATTTAATTACTGTCATATAGTAATTTATTGCTTTATTGTCACACCTCAGTTTCGCAATACAGGCAAATTTTCCACATGTTCTCAAAAGCAAAGCTGGTATTTCCAAATGCTAAATTAATACTTCTAAAATGAATTAAAAACAACACACTATATACATTGTAAACTAAGTAAAATGCAATAGAAATAAAGCCTTTTACCATTCAATTATAGAGAGCACAGGAAAGTAACTAATCTATTGCAAAACTAATCGTGATTGGTCAAACTCATTTAAGCATCATTGGTGTTAGCTCTGTGGCGGTAACTAATCTGGGGTCTGCAGGTAGCGTTAATAACGCCACGGAGGTGGTGTAAGTAATGCCACTGCCTACTTTACACACAACAGCGTACGTTAGGCCAGCCTTACGCCATGTGTGTGTGAACATACCCTTTGTTTCACAATTCAGTCTCTTATAACCTTTTGGCAGAATTATAATAACCCAGAAAACACAAAGGTTCATATGGTAGTTACATTCTTACGAGTACCATGAACAGGAAATAATGATGTATGTATATGTGTGTATGTGTGTATGTATATATGTATGTATGTGTGTACATATATGTATATGTGTGTATATATGTATGTATATATATATATATATATGTATATGTATATATATATATATATATATTTTAATATATATATATATTTTTAAAATTTGTAATTAAGTTTTTGCTCTCTTTGTTATTTTCTGCTTTTAAAATGTTTTTGTAGATAAGAACTGAACCACTTTGGAAATCGGTACTATGTATTGAAAGTGTATATTCAGTATAAAGAAAGAATAAATAAAATAAAAATAATCAAGACAATGATCATATATAAATTTAGATGTTTGCATCAGGAAATTTGACAGGAATGATGTTTTTGCCCTACCTGATGTACTACCATACTGAATGCTCAGTATGTTCCCAAATACTTGCAAAAGAATTACAAGTGATTCAAGTGGGAATTAACCCACTGAGGTCGTAGGTTTGATTCCCACTTCACAATTATTTTTGAAAGTAGAGAGCATTACTGGTTCATATAAATAATGTGTAGTTAACTGTAAGTGTAATGTAATTTTAGCTCCTTTTTGACTTACTTTTACTTACCTAATAATTATGAATATGAAGTGTAGATATATAAGATATACCATGGAAATATACAGTCTACATAATAATGTTTATTTTTGATGACCCAACTTTGTTTTTATATGTACTATGTTAATAATAGACAATGCTATTCCTAAATCCTAATTCTGATTAGATGTTATTATTGTACAGTATGTTTGGATTGGGACAATACAATCCAATCAAAACAAGGTATTTCTTCAAGACTGGTGTTACAATAGCCATAATGTACACAACAATATAAACTAATATACTATTTTTATTTTTATTTTATTTTATTGTTATTATTTTATTGTTATTTGCTTTTTCTCAGTTGGCCTATATTATTTCTCTGTAAAGTGCATAGGGGCAATGTGCAATATGCGCTATATAAATATAACATTATTATTATACATAGTCAAGAAAGTTCAACAACTCAACTAATCATTCTCAAAGATCAGACCATTTGCTATAACATCCGAGAATGCTGTTACTAGGCAACAGTCTTAATGGTTGTAAATCATATAGTTAATGAAATGTAAAACAACAATTTGGTAATTTATTATATATTCAGTTAAAGGTGATGTATTTATGCAATGTAAAACGTTGAATTGTTAGCTATCAGTGGGAATTAACCCACTGAGGTCGTAAGTTTGATTCCCACTTGTTAAGTGGGAATCAAACAAACAATTTCTAAGAATTAGTGTGCAAAATAATCATAATGAAAGTGGTTATTAGGCCAAATAAAAAAAATTACTCTTCAATAGATTTAAAAATGGTCTTTGTTGTATTTTTGTGGGAAAAACTTTTCCTACCGACCTACCCATTTTTTGGATCCCCCAGAAACGTGGCCAACACAAGAATTTTTTTTTGGCCTTATCAATAACCATTCATTTGTTCATCAATAGGTATAGATTGCTTCTTTTCAGACTTACTGGTACTTCAAGGCTCTAGCCACACTTGTTTATTAGTATTAAAGTTACTGAAGTTTAAGAAGAGAAATTATCTAATGCACCACAAAAGTTTGATACTCCTCCATTGTACAGTACTATTAATCTCCATTCAAAAAAGCTTGTGAGAATATGTCATAAAATCAAGTAGGGTTTAATAACCATTCATCTGTTCATCAATAGGTATAGAATTGATTCCTTTCAGACCTACATAGACATGCCACAACTGCTTATTTATTATAAGGTTTTAAGACTGACGTTATGAATAAATTATCTAATGTACCACATTTACCACACAAGTTTGATATTCCTCCATTGTACTATTAAGCTCTATTCAATTTTTAAATATTATTAATATCATGGGAATATTTTGAATAATCAAGCATTGCCTGTCATTTATTTGTTAATAGGTATATTAGACTCCTTTTGTGAATATGCATACAACGTATACTGTTCATACACGTGTGTATGTGTGTACATGCGCGTGTGTCGTTAATTACTTGATGCGAATGGGATGTTCACACCACCTATGCATTAAGTCTCAGTGTATAGTATTGGCTGATTTATTCATTTACTTATTTATTCAAAATATAACTGATGTGTTATTTACAGGCATTGCCTTTATAGACCTGAGAAAGGCATTTGACACAGTTAACCACACCATTTTATTGGAAAAGTTAAGAAACATAGGTTGTTCTTTACATGCTCTACAATGGTTTCAATCATATCTGTCAAACAGACAAAAAAGCATATCCTTTAATGGCAAAATATCACAACAAATGAATTTATGGGTAGGTGTACCCCAAGGTTCAATTTAAGGCCCTCTCTTCTTTCTTATTTTTATAAACGATCTCTCGCAAGTTATTTCCCATGGTAAAATATCATTGTTTGCTGATGATACCACACTATCTTTTGCTAATAGAAATGTTAATAATATTGAAAAAGCAATGTCAGAGGACATACACAAAATTTGTTTGTGGATAAATAAAAATAAATTATGTATAAATATTGAGAAAACTAAAATTATGCTTCTGGGTACAAACCGCCGATTATCAAATCAAAACTTTAAAATTGATGTAAATGGGAATGAATTCGAAAGAGTTTACAACTATAAATGCCTTGGTGTAATTATTGACGATCAATTATCTTGGCATGATCATGTTAAGTCTGTATCTAAAAAAGTGTTTGCAACTCTTTCAATCCTAAAGCGTCTAAAACCTTTTATTAACCAGTCTACTTTAAACCAACTTTACCTTTCACTTGTTCAACCACATTTTGAATAATGTAGTACTGTGTGGTCAAAATGCTTTCATAATGATCTTGACAAATTGACCAGACTCCAAAAACGTGGTGCAAGATTAATATTAAATTCAAATATTCTAACACCCTCTAAAGAAATATTTATGTCACTTGGTTGGTTACATTTAAGTGATATATTTGACCTAAAACGGTCATCTTTAGTATTCAAGTGTTTAAATGACAATGTGCCCGAATACCTTAAATCATATTTCAAACTTACTAATGAAAATCATAATCACTTTACAAGAAATAGTTGAAAATCCCTTTCACTTGACAAATGTAAAACTGAATATTATAAGCATTCTTTTAAATGGCAAGGTGCAAATCTGTTCAACAGTTTAAATGATGTAACAAAGTCATCAAGTAATTTAAATGTTTTTAAAAGCAACTTTAAGGCATCATTAGTGTAAGATTAATTATCTTTTATTGTATGTACTTAAATGTGTAAATTTTTAGTTAAGTTTCTGTTGTCTAAAAATATTTTGTACCCAGGGCCCCAAGGGAGACCAGTCTATTTGACTTTGAAATATTGAGAATAAATAAATAAATAAAAATGTGTATGGGTCTTAATAATGATATAAATGCAGTTTTGTTGACACAAAACATTCTGTCTGAGTCTGGGTGGGTCTGCAGTGCATTAGTTATGATGGAGGACCAGTTTGGGAAATTCAAAGGGGGGAGGGGGGTTTTGCCAGAAAAGAGGGGAGTTTGCTAAAAAAATGGGGTTTGCCAGAACCATAAAACACAGAACCATAAAACACTGGCTACAGGCTTGTTATTAAATAGACTCTTCAACCTCACTAAAAAGCAAGACTGTTCATTTTCTATCTTAGCTTTATGATGTAATGATAGTATCCCATCATTCCTTCAAATGGATTTAGTCTTGCAAGCTGGAGAAAGTTTAGAAAGTGTGTACATGCCTGCAAGCGGAGAGCAGACAAAAAACATGAGGCTATGTAATTTAAAGCCCCATTCCCGACAAAATTTTATTAAAAAAAGGGGTTTTTTTTAGAAAAAACACATTTTTTAGAAAAAACACATATACATATTAATTAATTACTATAAAAATATTGGCATACATTTTAGTTTTATGCAAAAGAATAAAAAAAATGAGAAATACAGACTATTTGCCAGGAATGGGGGCTTTAAGGGCTTACATGATCAGCATCTTGCTAGATGGTTCATTATGTTAAAATATGCTTCAATAAATACATTTTTTCTTAATTTATTTATTGCATCCAACAGTGTAAAACATCAATAAAACAGGATGGATAAAATACAATATATTATCATAAAATAAATGGAAAAAGATTATATGAAAGTTAGGTATTAAAGTTGACTAATTGTATTAATGTAAATAATCAACATACAACCAAACCGATGTGCACTCAGTCTTGTTTATATAATTATTAGAGAATCCAAGAACCATTCAGGTAAACAGAATTCATCCTGGTGAGAAGCTTGTGAGCGTCTATTGTAATACTACAGATGTAGATGCAGTCTCAGTAATGTGGAGTGCGGTACATGAGGATTGTATATGTGGTGTTGGGATTGGTGTGGGTGTGACAGAGTGAGTGATGGTAGCTGAAGTATTTATAAAAAAAATTGCCTTTATTTTACAAATAAAATATTAAATATTAATTTTTGGTGGAACTTTTACTATGAGTTTATATAAAAAATCAAAAAGGGCACTCTTCAAAAGGGGCACTCCATGCGATTACAGTTATCAGGGAAATTTGTGGCGATTTATGTGGTAGTTTTTTTATAGAGCATTTTTTATAGAGCAACCCTCAGAGGATTAAAAAAGATTTATTTTATTAACTCTATTTTATTCCTCCATGGGTAGTATAATTGCGCTGTTAAATTCGGCATTAAATCATATCATTTATTATAATGTATAGACCATTTCATAAAACAGCGCTGCCAACAGCTCGCAACTCACTGGGGGACTTCCAGCAGCCTAGCCTGAGCAGCCTGCTAGTTACGAATAGAGCATCCCGCAGCAGATAGCACTGCTAGACCTTTGCTATAGCAGCAGTAGACAACAGATACCATCTTGCTAATTACTTTAATTACTGTATATGTAAACATTGAAATAGCTTTTCAAGACTTAGACTTGTTTTTAAAGTAAACATTTCGTGTTTTTTTTCATTTTAAAATAC